GTAAGGGCCAAGTGGCAGCACCTAATCACCAAAGATAGGGTGAGTGTGGTTATCATAATGGACAGCAGAGTCAATGCAGTCATCAGAATAGTCTGACTCATATGGACTTACGGCGTTGGCCACTTAGTCATGGTGTCCCTAGGAGTGAAATAGATGGGAAATCTACTAAATATTTACTTGATCTGTGTAAGTGGAAGAATTTTAGGTCAAGTGAATGGCAATCTAACTCCAGTCTCCAGAACAGAGTCATAACCCCTCAATTAATTCCCAGACTCAAGCCAGTTTACAGACCCACAAACCCCTTGAATGAAGGGGAGGCCGGGGTCCCCTTGAGGAAAGACCTCACCACACTGCCAAAAATTTATACTGTTAATCTTTCTCCCAGGCTTTCCCAAAGGGATCTACGGCCTTTTACAAGATTGACTATTCACTGGGGAAAAGGAAATAATCAGATTTTTTGGCGATTACTGGATACCGGTTCTGAACTAACACTAATTCCAGGAGACCCAAAACGTCACTGCGGCTCACCAGTCAGACTGGGGGCCTATGGAGGTCAGGTTATTTTTTATTTATTTATTTATTTATTTTACTGTACTTCAGGTGAAGGCTTACAGAACAAATAGTTTCTCATGAAACAGAAGTACACATGTTGTTTTAGGACATTGGTTAACAACCCCACAACATATCAACCCTCTAACTTCTCAACCTTTTTTTTTTTTTTGGTGAAAATACACATAGCCAAAGATAGACCACTTCAAAAATTTCTACATGCACGGTTCAGTGACATTGACTATGCTCTTCGAATTGTGCTGTTATCCTCACTTAAGATGAAGGCCTACAGAACAAAATAGTTTCTCATTTAACAGTTACTACAAATGTTGCCCTATGACAATGGTTAACAATCTCACAACACATCAACAATATCCTTACTCAACCTTGGGTTCTCTATCACCAGCTTCCTTGTCCCCTTCTGCTTTCTGGCCCTTGTCACTGGACTCCTGTACCTAGTTAGTCTCATTTGGTTTTACGGGGCTGTCCACTCCCAGGCTGAACAGTGAACCTCGGAGGTAACTTCACCACTGAGCTAAAAGGGTGTCTGGGGACCACACTCTTGGGGTTTCTCCAGTCTCCTTTAGGCCAGTAAATCTGGTCTTTTTTTTTGTGGGTTAGAATTATGCTCTACATCCTTCTCCAGCTCTGTCCAGAACCCTCTGTTGTGATCCTGGTCAGAGCAGTCAGTGGTGGTAGCCGTGCACCATCTAGCTGTACTGGACTCACTCCGGTGGAGGCCTTGGTAGCTGTGGACAATTAGTCCTTCGGACTAATCTTTTCCTTGTATCCTGTTCTCTTCATTCTCCCTTGTTCCCGAAGGGATGAGACCAGTGGAGTATCTTAGATGGCCGCTCACAGGCTTTTAAGACCCCAGACACTACTCACCAAGGTAGAATGTAGAGCACTGTCTTTATAAGCTGTGTCATGCCAATTGAACTAGATGTTCCCCGAGACCATGGTCCCCAGAGCTGGAGGTCAGGTTATTAATGGAGTCTTAGCTCGGGTCCATCTCACAGTGGATCCAGTGGGTCCCCAAACCCATCCTATAGTGATTTCCCCAGTTCCAGAATGCATAATTGGAATAGACATACTCAGTAACCAGACGAACCCCCACATTGGATCTCTGACAAATGGAGTAAGGGCTATTATGGCAGGAAAAGCCAACTGGAAGCCATTAGAACTGCCCTTACCTAGGAAAACAGTAAGCCAAAAGCAACACTGCGTTCCTGGAGCTGGCCTGGAATTGGCTTTGACCAGTAGAATGTGGCGAAAAACATGCTGTGTAACTTTCGAGGCTGGGTCTTAAGAGATCTGCAGCTTCTGCTTTTGCCCCTCTTGGAACATTCCTTCTTGGAAGCCAGCTGCCCTGAAGAAGTCCAAGTACCCTGAGCCCACCAAACTGTGAGGACGCCGAAGCTTCAAGGAGAGAGAGAGGTCACGTGGAGGAGCACTGAAGTGCCAGAATGTGACTAAAGCATTTTTGGACTTTCTAGCTCAGTCCAGCCACCAGCTGAAAGCAGCTGTGTGAATGGCACCAGCCAACACCACATGGAGCAGAAGAACCTGCCAGCCAAGCACTGTCCAAATTCCTGACCTACAGATTTACGAGCAAATAAAATGGTTGTTATTTTAAACCACTAACATTTTGCCGGGATGGGGGGCTCTGGTGGTGTGGTAGTTAAGCGTTTGGCTGCTAACCAAAAGGTCTGCAGTTCAAAACCACCAGCCGCTCCTTGGAAACCCTGTGGGGCAGTTCTACTCTGACTTATAGGGTTGCTATGAGTTGGATTTTGGGAGAATTTGTTGCATTGCAACATATAATCCAAACATACTTACGTCATTCGTATATTTTCATGGCAGAAAATTAAATGTATTTGATTACAGAGTAATGCTCCAGACCTCACTGAGGGTGTTATGTAATATATGGTATATGAACATTTTACCTTTCTAAATTAAAATTACAAAAATCAGAATTCTGAAATACATCTGGCCCCAAGGGTTTGGAGAAGGGATTGTCCTTTGTATTACAGAAATAGGAGTGGTCTAGACTTCCTTCCTGTCTTCCTGCGTTCACTCAATGTCAGGTTTTAGATTGCGTCTTCAGCCGTTTCTCATATGTACCTCTTATTTCCCCAACTACATTATCAGTTTCTCTATACCAGTAGTTCTCCAACTTCAGCATCCGTCATAGTCTTTTGGGCTTGTTCAAACACAGCTTCCTGGGTCCCACCCTCAGAGTTTCTCATTCGGTGGGCCTGGGGTGAAACTTGACAACTTACATTTCTGACAAGTTCCTAGGTGATGTTTATGCTTCTGGTCCAAGGGAGCACATTTTGAAAACCACTTGTCTAGGGGAAAGAGCGGTATTTTTTGCTTAGCAAATGCTCACTGATAAAATTCCTCCAAATCTTCATGTTTGCCATGTTTTTTTAAAATTTTTTAAATTGTGTTTTAGGTGAAAGTTTACATAGCAAATTAGGTTCCCATTTAACAATTTTTACACAACTTGTTCCATGACATTGCTTACCTTTTTCACAATGTGTCAACGTTCTCATCATTCCCATTCTTTTTGTTCTGTTCCCATTAATCTAGCATCCCTGCTCCTCCTTAGCTTCTCATCTTTGTTTTAGGGTACATGGTCTCAGATAGCTGATTGTTTAAGGGAGCACAGTGTTCACAGGTGATATTGTTTATTTTATAAGACAGTCTATTATTTGAAGGAAAGGCGACCACCAGGAGTGGCTTCAGTTCCAGGTTAAAAGGATGTCTAAGGGCGATAATCTCGGGGGTCCCTCCAGTGTCTACCGTTCCAGTAAAACTGGCCTTTTGTTTTTTTAGAAATTTGAGTTTTGTTCTACACTTGTCTCTCTCTATCCAGGACCTTCTACTGTGTCCCTGGTGAGAACTGTCCCTTGTTGGTAGCGGTTTGCCATGCTTTTGAAGTCTTAACTTAAACCTCTGAGGTCCTCCTGGCTAGGCCATAGACTTAAACTAATTCCTTGTTTGTTTTATTAGATTGTATTTTTTGCTTTCTTCTCAGCTCAGGTGGTAGGATATTATGGATAAAATGTCCCTTCTGACCTCTTTATAACCTGCTTTGGTACAGACCGGCGGGAACGCCCTAGCTGTGACCCCACGCCCCCAAACAACCCGTCTGTTTGTGGCCAAGAATTATTTCCTTTCCCCTTGGTCGTTTCTGGATAAAATAGAATTTTTCTTGTCACTCATTCACAAAACAGAAGAAGTAGGAGCTTCCAGCGATGCCCTTTTGGGGAAGTCCATCTATCAACGCCTGCATTTTACTGACGGTACTATAGAGGCTCAAAGAGGTGGGGCCACTTGCTCACGGTCACACCGCTGAGAAATGCAAGTGTCGCGTTGGAAGTTCAGATCTAACCTGACCCTATAACAAGCTGCTTCACTAAATGAGTCTCTCTCTTCACCTCCCTATCCCAGGAAAGTACAGCGCATTCAGTCATAAACTTCACCGTGCACAACCCACACCTTTCAAGCTTTTTGCAAACATAACCTTCCCAGGGTGACGAGATAGTCACACGGATTCATCTTGACGAGTGATCCCAAATATCTCCTCCCTTTTCCTCTGGCCCAGGCGCCGTCACCCAGGCTCCACGGATCCCCGCTACAGAGCCGCCCAGAGCGCCTGGCTCTCACAGCCCAGCGATTAAGTTGGTTCCTGAAATTGTTCCCGACCGGAGGGGCAGGAAATAACGCTGCGCTTTGGTGATGGCCGCAGCGGGAGGGGGAGAAGGACTGGCTGTCCCCCGGGGAGTCCTGATGGCCTCATCGATCTCGAGTCTAAGGTCCGGGTGGGTCAGAATTCCAGCCGCTCGTTCTTCCATTCTTGTCGCCACCCCGCCCCCTGCCGAGGTCATCGCTCCGAGGGCTGAGTTCTGGGGCGACGGAGGCTCTGGTGGCCTCGGTTTCCTTAAGGGGCTCCCAACGCGCGCTGCCCCCGCCCCGCCAGGTGGAAGGAGACACGTAGCGGCGGCCGCACTCCAGGCGGGGAGGAACCGGAGAGAGTCGACGGTGCGGGCTGACGGGGGACCCCGCGCCCTCTCCTCCGCGCCGCCCGCCGGACTGCCTGCCCCGCGGCCCTGGCGCCCCCCGGAGCCGCACAGCCCCAGGCAACAGGTGAAGCGGCCGCGGGGCCC